TAGATCCGCCCAGGGGTCTGGGCTCAATCCTAAACCCTAGACCCTCTGGGCTTGGAGTTCCTGAGAAGGGAAGAATGCTGAGGAGATCCTCGAACAAGAGACCGCTGAATGCTTGTCCAAAGAAGCCGGGCCATGTCCATATGAGAGATATTCTAAACTCCCAGTATTTCCCTTAATAACCCCTACTAAAACACTCCCTGATGTAATTCCTTATGTACCCCCCCTTTAATCTGATACGAGTACTTCCGGACGATTCTATCATCGGTGAGAAGGACCACAGCTTCCGTAGGGCCTAAATCATTTTTGAACTCTAATCGAGGTACCCAATGCCGCAGCAAAGTAATCCTAAAAAGCAATCTAGGACCATAGTATTAACAGATCATTAGCAACCCTGGAGGCTTCTACATTATCCTAAGCCCTTAGCCTTAAACCTTAGACACACCATCCTAAGCCCTAAACCCTAAACCCTTTACAACCTAAGGTTTCTAACTTCAGGAACCGAGGCGGAAGGGCAATGAAGGTGATACGTTTGGAGTGCACAGCAAGAGGAGCTTACATCATATAAGATATGTAAATACCATATGCTATATATATATAGTATATTAGGTAGTATATATATATGTATATCATAATATGATATATATATATACACATACAGGTATTACTATCATTATTGTTGTTCTTAGTATTACTATTATTATCCCTAAGACGATGTAGGAGTTTTCATATGTAAGTCGCTGACTGATGATCGCAAGACCATCACGACATAATCTTGACTCTCCCTGTCGCAGTTGCAAAAAACATTGGCCTTGCGGCTCTGCGTGAATTCTGCCGTGCTATGGCGCCTGAGTGGGGTCCTTGCGTTTGCGTTGAGTCTGAAACCCTGCTTCTAGCAGAATACAAGGAAAGATGTGATAGACTTCTCAATCCCCAATCTCTGTGTAAGGACTGTGACTTTGATCTCCAATTAAGTCTGACATTTGGATTAGAGAGAGGATGTTGTTCCTCCAGCAACAGGCGGACTCAGCTGCAGCACCCCGCTATGTGCAGGAAGGTTGTCTAGGGATGACGGCAGCGTGAACATGAGCATATGTTTGGTTCTCCTGGAACTACACCCTAGTCTGAACAAGAAGCTTCTTTGCTATAAATTCATGGAGACCCATGATTAACAAACCCCCTCCTTTTAAGGGCGTCAATATAAGGATCCTAGTATCATCCCCATTCAAGGGAAAGGTTTATGAATAATGGGTCTGGGTTATAAGCCCAATCCAGGTTCTGTCACATTTCAGTCTTGCCATAATAGGCACTGTCCCATTCCACAAAGCAAGAACGAGAAACATGCTTCAATTTCACTTCTAGATACGCAAACAAAACAAAGCTTGGCTCCTACTTTTACCAAGAACACTCTGAAAAGGCCACCCAAATCAGGGCCTGCACTTGAAACTCAGATAGGCATGACCTACAGTTTGGAGAGGGCTCATCTAATGACCATACCATATTCACAGAAATTCGAATATGCTGCACAAATATTTTGCCTGTTGGACCAATTTTTCATGTTTCCTAATATCTTGAATACTAACTTCTCGTCTCCTAGGTTGGCCCCTAAAACCCTTTGAAAAATATTAGTATATCAGGTCCCTTATTAAAGCCATTAGGGAAAATATTAAATGTCCCAGGGGCCTACCCAGTAACCCTAAACCCTAAACTCCAAACCCTAAACCCTAAACCCCAAACCCTAAACCCTAAACCCTAAAGTCTCAATAAAAGAAAAGGCAAGGCTGCACCCCGCTCAGCTCCAGCCGGCTTTTGCTGCTGCCGCTGCTGCAATCCCAAGACCCCTAGGAGGAATCCTCCAGCCTCCCAGTTTAACTTATGGGTAGTTCCCAAAATTAGGGTCCCATTTTGGCACCCCTAAATATTAGGTGCCGTAATATCATCTACAACCAAAAGGGGCCCCTAATATTGAGAATAACCCTTATTGTGGGGTTAGTAGGGAATTAGGATCTCTTATAATCCCTGCTGACCACCAGTAAGTTAAATCTTGCATGACTAAGTATCCGATGACTACACAGCCCGGCCGGATTCAGTCCATCCACCGTAGTGCTACTGTGGAGTTGGCTGTCTTTAAAAACTTTCAGGTGCTAATCTTTGCTGGATGCCAAGAAATCTGAGAGGGAACTCTTCGGGGATCCTCCCAGGCGTTTGGAGACAAGACCAACGCCAAAACTAGCCTTCATGTTCTTGTGTGTTTAATGTGTTCTGGTTGTACTTACGCTTCACAGCTCTGTGATACATGTGTGCGGAGAACTGTGTGCAAACCTGTGTTCACAACATGCTCATTCTGCTCCAGACATGTTGTCATTGACACACGTGACACGTGCGCAACACCGCTGAGGGTTCTCTGCAATATCCACACAGCGTGGTCTACTGCCCAGCTAGAAGCTTGAATCCAAGAACCTGCTGTCTACCGCGCAAGTGCTATTTTCAAAGAGGTACAATAGATGTGCCCAAGCATGGCCGTATCATCCAAGTACTGGCTGAGGAAGTCTTTGCAGGACCTATGACTTGAACAATGGAGCGGGCTGGGAATCTTAGGGCTGTACGAAGGCCCAACATAGTTTACCCTAGATGAGAGGACACTGGACAGATTGTTATCCAAAGGCTTCATGAAGTCACAGGGCGATGGTCTTCTTGGTGCTCAGCTTTCCAAGCCTCAGCAATGGCAGAATTACTGTTGATGCCAAAAATCAAGCATGACTTTAATATACTATAGTACCTATTTTCCCGAGGTGTAAGGTACTTAACCAGATTTCTACTATCCACTGTATGATTTCATCTTTCATTTGTTCTATGGATTTCTCGAGCTCTCTCTCTCTCTCTCTCTCTTGCGCGCGGAATTAGTTACCATATATCAATACTACGGTAGCCTAATTTCAAATCCCTCGCAGCAGGCCAGTTGAGGCCCAAACCTCGGCCTTAGAACACCCTGGACCCTTGACTGCCCGCATTTGCCATGGAGTTTTTGCCGGAAGCGAAGTAAAGAACAGGATTCTTGCCAGGTAACATATCCAAGCTGTGAGATGCATCCTAGATAGGCAAGGTCATGGGACGGCCAAAGTACGCTAAGACATGTATGTAAGGCCTGCCTACGTAAGTTCTTGGCTGCATGTCCTGGCCCTAGAAACTCCGGGCGCGACTTCTGATCATTATTCAGCATGTAGCTGGATGAAAATATGTCCCAGAACTGCCGGACAACACTTTCCCGTCGCGTGTGTAGTGGCATGTGGCAAACCCTTAAGAAGAATCCATGTGCCATGTGAATGGAAGCTGAACTGATGTTCACATTTCTGAGGGCGTCCTCGCATCGAGCCTTCTCAACTTAGTGTTGGCGGCATGCGTTCACGTAAGGCCCCAGCTTGTGCTGAAGCTTGACACAGACTGACGTTAAGCTGTCATCTGCCTCCTGACACCAGCAGCCAAAGAAGGGGAGTAGCTGGTGGCGATGGGCCGAGTGACTCACAGGTCGGTTGAATGGCTTGCACTCAAACTTCTGGCGCAAGTCTCTAATTTCATGCTTGCTTGCACATCTGGACGGGGCTCTGTTTCTCGGCGGACATGTGAGTCCAAGGCATTTTCGGATATGGCAAGACCCTTGACTGAAGGCTTCCCAATTTCCGGGAGATACAGGATTTTCGCCGTAGGGTCCCCTCCAATAGGGCTCTCCATCCCGTCTCACAACCCTTGTCGCGAGTTGGGCCAGCCTAGGCCCATCCCAATTTTTTGCGGAGTCCAACAAGTGAATCCTTCAAAGTGATATCGTTCTATCATGTCCGCTTTGAGACGACCAGGGATCACTTAGGGGATTAATTGCTGGGCCCTTTGTAGGGGTTATATGGACTGCACAGTTTTCATAGGGGCTACATACAGAAATTGTAGAACTCCACGCAGGCCTAAGCCCTTCCCCTGCACGCTTACCCTGCTGGCCTGGTTTTGATGCGAGTTTGGCGGGCCGATCGCCTGCCAAAGCAAAGACAGCCCTAAGCTCCAAGATTCCAAGGCGCACGTATCCAAAGTCAGGAGCTCAAAGTGAATATGTATATATACAAAAATAAATACATATATATGGATGTTTCCCAAATTAGGGGTACCACTTTAGGGCCATTAAAGACATTGGTTGTTTCTGCTGTTACCTGACGCTCAAGCTAGCTGAATGCTGTGTTTGTTGTTCGGAGTAAGCCGTGGACGCCAAAGACCTGGTGGTTTACAACTGCGCAGTAATCAACTGGAAGTTGGTAGGGAATAAGGGAATAAGGAAATTATATTATGCAGGAATAAGGGAATAAGGAAAATATGTTATACAGGAATGAGGGAATAAGGATTTTATACTACACAAGAATTATAGAGGGATTCTGAAATGTGCAATTGCGGAAGCTGATTTCGCCACTGCGGCCATTTCACGAAAGGGTGCCAGGATGCAACTCTGCCAAAGCCTTTTGTGGGCTATAGTCTAGACTCCTACTATCCCCCTTAACATCCCCACTAGCAGTCCCCAGTCCCCTGTTAATGCGCTCTATAAACCCCTTCAGGGGGTGTAAGACTATGGCTCTTGTGGGATGGTAGGTAGACGGTAGTTCCTTGTGGGAGCCACACGTGGCCGCTGCTCCTTAAGAAGCTTGTGCCAACAATGTCGAAATTCCTAAGGCCCCTTTTTGAGGTAAAGCGGGGGGCACTACCAGGCCAAGCCGTCCCTTCTGTGAACATTTCTTGAAACTTTTTTGGGAGCGGACTTATTTCTTGAAACCTAGAATTCAAAACTTTCTTTTGAAAGATGTCGCCCTGAAGCAGCACCGCAGCTTTTTTCTCAAAGCAATCTCTCGCTGATGTCAGCGGGAACAAGCTGCCAGAGGATTTCCACAGCCGCGGTGTGAGGCTAAGAAATTCTGACTGTAGGCATTCAGCTTGATCATATACGGCAACCATGCATCAAGATCATTGATTGATTGAGTCTGGAAAGCAATTCCAACATAGGGGAAACACACCATTCATCATCAACAATCGAAGATGTGCAATGCCAGCCAAGTTCGGCTTACGTGTCGGTCTCGGGTTGACAATCCCATGACAAACCCCAAAGAAGAGCTATCCTCATCCTCTTTGGAAGCACCTCCTAAAAAGATGGGACATTGAAACGTATCCTTCTCCTCTGCAGCAGCGTTTTGGAGCAGAGTCCAGAGAGGCAAACTCTCCACAAACTCCACAACGCCTTGATTTATGAATGCTCCTTGACATTACTGGGCCAGGACCGACCCCCGAATCAGCTGCTGCGGATGTACGCATGTGAGAAGGGCAAATTTGGAGTCTGTGGCTTAACAATCGAGTGGCCTCTTGTCAGCCTTGCTACCTTGAGCATCATTCAAGATCATGAAGACCGTTGCAGCAGAAGCAACTCCCAAAGAAATGCTAATCACCCCGAGTTTGTCTTATAAGCCTTGTCCTTACTGGGAGTTGCTAGTAGGAAATCAGAATATATTATATTTGGTCTCATGAGGGTTGTATTCCCCTGTTCCCTACTAACCACCGGTGAGAATCTTCCATAGATCGACGTCATGGGATGGGTTCCCCGATCTCGCCGGAGCCCTGCCAGCCAGCGTCCACATGCCTGGAGGAGAAGATCGGCAGGCGATTTCCTCGGATGGGAAGCTGATTTGCTGCCACATGGAGATGGGGAGTATGGTCAACCCTAAGTAGATAGCATGCGGAATTGCGCAATATGATAATATTATCCCCATTAAAAACCGTGTTGCATCTGCTCCAGGGGGACTATACATAGCCCCAAACCCTAAACCTTAACGCTAACCTTTTTACGTGGAGCCGTGTAGCAGACAGGCAGAGGCCCATTCTGTCAGGCTCCAACCATCTTTCTCTAAAGCAGCTAGCAAATGGTGCCACATGAGTTCCCAAAATTAGTGGCACTTTTTTGGGGGGTCCACAATAAGGAATAAGATATACTGGGGTCTATGTTGGGGGTTCCCTATTGATGGAAACTACCATATGTCTACTTGCACAACTTGAGATCCCCCTGTCTATACCCCTACATTCTATTAACAAGGTTCGAAAGGCTTGCAAAATCAGGACTTCAACTGTTGGTGTGTGGTCTGCTTCCCAATAGATTCACTACCATCAGATATACAAGCCAGCTACCATCCCTTCCAGGAAGATGCCCTTGTTCTTGTATCCCTGTAAATGCCGAGCCTCGTCAGTCGGCTTCTGCAGGGACCAACTGGCTCTAACAGACAAATGTACATATACGTGTACATATCTATAACTAACAATCTGTTATCTACAGCCCCAGCATCAAGTTCATTCCATTTCAGTTCCAGCTCGTTCTGCGCAATTCAGTTTTGAAAATGAGTACACCACCACCCAACACAACGAGCCCAGGGTGTCCCGTGCTGGGGGCACCATCAAGAAGTTGGTTCACCCTTTGAGGGACTTCCTAACTACGACAAGAACCTCAAGGAGCACTATACAACCTACCGTGGAACAAGCCACTTGAAGCGGAATTCCGTAAGTCAGTAAACAACTTACTTCCAAACGCATGGCCTGCATAACCTCCCTACATGAAGGGCATGCGAAGCAGAACTTGAGAAGCAAGCTCTGGGATGTTAGCCGAACTATGAAACCCTGATACGAGAAAGCACGCCTTCGAGCCATATGTAGCAGGACTTAGACTGCCTGGATTGGGCTGACTGAGTGGTACTTGTGATGGCACAGCTACTTGACTTCTCCAAGAGAGAAAATTGCTGGCAAACTGTTGCCTGCTCATGAAGATGGACTCGAATTTTCACCAAAAGCCCACTGCGGACCTATAGTCCCCCTTAAGTAGATAGAATATGGGGTATATGGGGATCTTATTATAATTTACCCAAAGCCATATTCTATCTACTTAAGGGGGCCTATACATTAATGAGCCTGCAGGGCTCTTTGTTACCCCTACTTCGCCCAAGCCGGACAACAATTCGATCTGGATGAAGGCTACCCTCCTACCATGTCAGTTTTTTGCTTTCGAGCTGCTCATGTGGACACGGTCGATCTCAAACAGCAGGTCCTGCAAGAATTTCGAGGACTCATGGAAACAGACCATAGGGCGCAGCATAATGTCAAAATGCTATGCTGCAGCTACATGTCAGCGTGCTGGCAGGCAGAAACCCAATCCCCTGCTCTAATAACGAACCTTCCCACCCTCTTGCATCAGACATCCATACGTTTGTATACAGGTACTGAATTGGGAATATTCAGTACTAAGGAATCTATTGTTTATTGAATTTTGCATGTGAGCGACCACTACTACTGCCCGGGTGCCACCTGGTCGGCTCCATGGCTGCTGCCAGAATCTACACAAGATTGCTCTTGAACCTTTGTTGAGGATATGCTGCTCCTACTCTCATAGAACCCTGAAATCGCACAAGCTCCTGTATAGGCTCTACCCCAGACCCGAAACCCTCAACCCTGAACCCTAGACCCTAAACCTTGAACCCTCAACCCTGAACCCTAGACCCTAGACCCTAAACCCGGAACCCTACAACCTAAACCCCAAGGTGTAGGTAACCCAAGTCCAAGCCGCCTCTATCCGCAGCTCTGGCCAGGAACTTGACTCAAAAAGCCCCAAAACTCTCGCGCATGTCCTGCGGAAGAGCCTCCGGCTTCTGGAAAAAGCCTGATGGCCCCTATATAACCCCTATAATGCTGTAGTTTCCATTTTCTTTTCCACTATCCCTATATAACCCCAATAAATTATATGGTAATTTCCATGAACCTTTATATAACCCTTGGATTACCCCTCTATAATGAAGTGAAGGACAGGGCTTTGGACTGCCAAGCTGCTCTACCACGTTCCATGCAGTTCGGAACCAGTGACGGCACAAAATGTGGTGCGAAAAAGTTTCAAGTAGGGATACGACAAGAATTTAGCTCCATTGGCTGAGCAATGCGTACGGGCTCTTGCTAACTTGATAAGGTTTGTCTGCATGATGTGTTGGCATCTTCTTGGCGCGCCTGCACGCATGGTGACACGAGGAGGAAGGTATTGCTGAATTTTGCACTTCCGAAGCTGACCGAATGACTCATTGTTCTACCCGTTTGCCTGAGAGAGCATGGCCTTTGATTTCCTGAGTGGTCAGAAGCGGGCATGGGGTGAGTTTTGAAAACTTCTCCTACAGGACGAACCCCTATGCAATCAACGGAAAAACCTTGCATGGGAATTTCCCAAACCAGGGATATCGGATCCAAGGAAGATCTCCCTCTGTCAGTGCTGCCAAAATACAGAATTAACATAAAAAATGCATTACGTTACTATTTTGCCGTTGTCGGCTGTATATACTAGACCCTAAACCCTGAACCCTTTTGCAAAAGGCTTGCGTTGGCTCGTCGCCTGGAAGTGCTCGTTATCAATCCTGAACCCTTTTGCCTTAACCTCTGTAGGGCCGGGGAGCGCAGGTCATCTTCTAGCTGCGCCATGTTGCTTGTTCCCAATAACACCTGGGGTGTCAGGCACAACGCAAGACTTCGTGGTACCACCCATTCTTGTGTTGAAACAAAACTATCTACAACAATAGGGCCCAATATCGGAAATCATTCACAATCCCAAAGTGCCAAATGTATCCCGCAAACGCTGCAGTTGTTGCGTTGCACGGATCTCCCCACAGCCCAAACATCTTGTGGCTGACGGGGCACAGTTGTGCAGCCTCGACGGCTGCGACACCAGCGTAGACTCAGCTCCTTCAATAAACAAATTGCCGCAAAAGCCATGTGGATATCTCTCAAGGTTCCAGGTTTGTTCTGGGTGTCGCAGTGGTACCGCTTTTGGACACGAATGAGGGCGATCCTGGTTTTGAGAAACACCCGTGCGGAATTCATACTTTTGGCTTACAGCAGCTGAGTCGGGAGTGAATGGACAAGCTGTCGACCTATCTCCATGTTTACTCATCCACAAGAATCTGAGAGACCTTTGCTTTGCGCAATGTAGCCGTGCAAACGGAACATGGCCCTTTGAAGCCGCTTTAGCCTAAGAGCGGCAGCGTTTTCTAAACCAAGCCTAGCATGAACGCGGATTCATGTCTGTGAGGATAGTGCATGCTGTGAGGATTACAAGAAATCCAGTAACCTGCCGCAAGCAGTCCAGGACTGTACTCAGCCCAACCGAGATGACAGAATGCAAGGCAAGGTACGAGTGCATAATATACATAGATATATATATATATATACACATGCATAAACATATCTTTAATTATCTTTATACCGCCAATGTGATGTAGTAGTTTCCATGTTTTTTCCATCATCCCTACGTCGCCCAATAAATATGTAGGGGTTATTCGATAATTAGTCCCGACACCAGATGCAAACCCAGCGTCCGTCAGAGAAATGCCGGCTTTTTTGGCAAGGGCAGAATATGCAGCAATGGCCTCACAAGGAATATTCTGATGCATGGTTGAAGTTCTAGGCCTCTCAAGGTTCAGGAAAGTGTCCCACCTCGTGTTTCTCCAGAGTGAGATTTGTTGCCATAGGTGGCTGACCAGCATGAAATGGGAAGGACGTCCCGGAATCAGCTTCAGTCCCTCGGAGCCTCCTGAGTTTTGTATGTTTTGTGTTGGGTAAAGCGGAAGCCCTAAATCTTAAACCGCGTTGAGGCGAAGCTGGCAAATGCCAGGTGGCCCACTTCGAGCGGGACCTTGAGAGTTGAAACTGTGGTCCTGAAGGCATACGAGGCAGTTCCCAAAGTTCTGGGTACCTTTTGGGGGGTCTCAACGATAAGGGTTACATTAATATATTGGGGTCTGTATTGGGTGTTCCTTCAATGGAAACTACCACTTCTCAGCAATTGGATGTGTCCGGGCACAGCGATTAGCAGTGAGGATTCTCTTAGCTATGCAACCCCCCCCCCTCACCACACCCCGTCACACTGCTCTCCCCAGCCTCACTTAACTCCCGCAAGGACATGTCAAAATTTCCGTGGCACATCTGCATTGCTAGCGTGCGAAACGCAGTAGCTCTTATGAATTTACTGCTAATGAGAACAAGCAAGCCAATTACTTTCTTTGGCAATCCTACATTAATTGTCACCTACCGCAACTGACCTCAGCAACACAAGCGCGACGATCCCACCCTGCCCAAGATAGGCTCAGTTGTGCCTCCACCGCTGCCTCAGATCTGTAGCCTTCGGAGATATGAAGAGGCTTGATAAACGTTTAATGACTACATTGGGAACATGTCGGAATTATGGCACGGCTGGGATGTGAAACTTCCCATGGGAAGGCATACGAGGCTTGGCGAAGGGTATCCTTGTAGATAGGCTTTGCGTGAACAGTCTCAAAGGATCAATGGTCGCAAGCGGAATGTGTATGGTTAAGGGCCAACCTGGGAAAGATCCAGCGGGTTGTCTTGCTGACACACCATGCTCGACAGATACTCATCACCAGAACGGATCTGCCTGGCAGCGAAATCCTTCAAATCAAGCTGGTTTGCAAAATACCCCGTCAAGGCAGACTAACTGAAAGAATGGCCACAGTCATGGTCTGCCGAAACATGGTATCTCTATTGCAGGCTCACACTACGAGGCTCCTACTCTTCTGCCCTGCGACGTCAAATTTATTGCAGAGCGCACTTGTTATTGTAGTAAGATCACCTGCGCCTCCATTGCGGCTGCTCCTACCCTACAAAGTTAGCCAAGCAACGGTACAGGGTACTGCCCCAGCCATAGGTGTCCATGCGACCCCGCGGCTTCTGGCAACGAGGGCGTTCGTCAAAATACTTTTTCAAGCTTGGTCAGGAATCGGGGAACGAAACCTGCTGCAGTCCGTGCAAGATCACCGTTACCCCATTCCGTCCTCCCCAACTGATCATGGGTAGGAACACAGCATAGTTACAGCAGAAGAGTTTAGGTCGGGTTTCAGCGATGAAGGCTTAGCGTGTCCAGATGAGGCTGGAAGTAAAGAGATGTTTCTCTCCAGCTTAGATCAGAGCTTCCGTTTAGATTGTGGTCTAGGTTCGCATGACGTGCAACTAGTGCATACTGGCAGGAAGTGGACGCCAACACCAAAACTCCACGTGTAACCTTGTTTGTCTACGCAGAGACTACGGTGTAGCTTTCTATCCTCACCTGAGCAGCCAAAGTCAATCCTGAATGCCAGGCGCAAGGTGAAAATGCTCACTCCCTGCTACTCTGTATCTTGCTCAGCTCTCATCTTAGTTTCGTACCGCGAAGTACATGAGCGATTTGGCGGTGTTGACTACGAAGTTGTCCTCCGAAGGACAGCAGACATGAAGGAGAGGAGCGTGATCGACATGACAGGGTAAATGGCGCGAGAAGCGGGAGCGAGAAGACCAAAACGCAGTTTGGAGCAGCTGTAGAGATAGCATGGGATACCATAAGTGGCTCCAGTGGTGACACTGTTGGCAGTAGCGATGATGGAAGTGCATGAGGATAAGCCGCATCTACAAATGCTCATGCGCATAGCAGTCTCAATCGAAGAAGTCGAAGAAGAACACGTAGCTTTTTGAATGCTAGTGCAGGCGGTGCCAAATGCTGTGGCGGTAGTGGTGATCATCGTTGCAAAAACGATCTGTCATAGCGTTCCACCTCGCCGTACTGTGAGAGGAGTAGGAAAAAAGGAAGAACTCGTCATAGTGCCATACTCGCTTTTGATTGCCATTACATCTCGGACGAGTTTCACTTGTACAGTGTATCAGCACGGTTTGCCTTTGAGTATTGAAGCCACTGATGGGTCGCCTGGATCTGGAATTGCTTCTGATGTGGAGCTCTATCTTTTTGACTTTGTCTTCGTGTTGCCGTGGGGGAGGCTTGGCCAATGTCCGCATTTGAGCACGACAGCCAACCGTGGCAATGCAGTGCCACCTGTATGTTCGGGCTTTGTGTGAATATGCAGGCTTTAGGGATTTGATGTGTCCTCGTACAACAACCAGTATCAAGCCCCATGGTGGTCCGCAGTAATTAAGAAAGGGGGCCACTGTCCAACGATTGTGTAGCGTGAGGATGTATGTCGCAACAGAAACAGTAAGAGCAACAGTACCAGTAGTAAGAATGGGCCGGGCCTTGCTTGGCTAGGTCCGAGTTCAGCATGGCGCAGAAGTATTTAAGCCCATCACATACGCGAAGCGAAAGCCAGACTGAGATATCTCCGCGGAAACAAAGTGGGTTGAAGCGAAGGACAAGGCGATTCACGAGGTTTGTGAGTCTTCAGCCGTAGGATTGCCAGGCACTGGTTGTCCCGATTGTGTTCCGAATTACGTCCCGTGGTGCTGATGCCTTCTCGGCCGAGTTTTCCTTGCTAAACCAACAGTTTTCGTAAGGTTCTGCCTGAATGCATCCAAACAAGCAATCTATGCGTACCCTTAAGGCCAACCTGGCTGTACGACCCCAACCTAGTAGACCTTGCCCCTACAAAACGGCCCTTAGTAAGGAATCCACATATAAATATGCAAAGCATAGCTGGTCTTATTGAACCTTGTTGATCCTTCTTCTGACCCAGACAAGCCCATGCCCGTTCCTTCATCAACTTCTCCGCGGCATCTTCCGTAGTGCTGTCCAGGGCTGCCGGCTTGTCCAGGTACTTACCTGGTCCCATTGAAGGCTGAGGGTTAGGGTGTAGGATTCCGGCTTTAGGGTTCAGGGTTTAGGGCTAGGGGTTATAACAAAGGCTCAGGGATGAACCCTTTCCGTGACAGGTTATCTCATGTCCGCTCACGGGTATGACTGGTAGTGGCATTAGGTAGGTTGCCCCCATTCAGAACTCTCGACCCTCCAACATGACGGAGCCCCACAGAACCCCAAACTACGTTTGTCTTCATTGTAACCACTCTTTCCCTAACAGTAAATCTCCGCATAAATACCCAATGTCGTACCCTTATAGACTCGCGGAATGTTTATTGTTAGGGAGTGGGGTTGTCATTATCAAGGGGAGGGGATTGGATTAATACCCCTTGGTCCTAACCCTTTTCCCTAAACATGTTTTCATGAGGGACTTCTGCGTCTGCCCTCTGCCTCCTTCAGCTGACACGCGTTGCATGTCTAGAAGACCCTGAACCCTCCATCAAAAGGATCTTTGAGAGACTCCTATGGAGACTCCCACGGCCCATGATAGGTACATGTTTAGGGGATCCCCAGATAGGCGCAAGAGGACACTTAGAAGGTATTTACAAGAGAGCCTACAGGGTCTGTCCTATCTGGGGGTTGCTTGGGCATCTACCTGTCAGCATTCCTCCCGCCAGCGCGTTGTAGGCCATGAAGCCCACCTGGGCATGCTCCAACGAAAGGATCCCAAAGGGTAAAGCCTTAAAAAAACACAACTCCAAAGATGATGCCACTATCATACTGAGTGAGACGAGATTACATGTAATGCAAGATTGTCTAAGATTGTCGTACCAATTCTTTCCAGACGCCTGGGACGGCAGCTAGACAAGGGAGTGTATGGCAGTGATCTAGTGAAAAGTGCAAAGTGATGCACACTTGACTCTTCAAGCCGTTGTCACACTTGTGAGATGCCCACCTTAGACTTGGAGTTTCAGGGTTAGAGAACCTGGGGTTGGGAATGCAGACAGTTTCTTGGAGGCCCGCGAACCGTATGCAGCAGATTTTGCAGTTTTTGCTCGAGCTGCGGGTTCTGCAAAGCGCACAATTTATGCGTTTCAGAAACCAAAAAACGCAGGCAATGGGCAGCGCTGATTTATGCAGGCGAGGCAACTCTTGGTTGACAAGAAGGCCCAGCCGGCGGAAAGCAGAGCAAGACAACGAACCCTTACCCACGAACTTTGGCCATTGACACAGTAAAGAAAAAATGATGGCTCGTTCCCCAAATATCATACGTCATAGGCTGGCAGCAACATTCCGGTCAAATCTCACTGCTCCTTGAACAGGCTTGGGCAGAGAACCGTGATTCCCAAATTCGATGCCTGTTGAAATGTGGGAGCTTGCTTCCAGGAGCACCAGACCGTGGAAACATCTCAAAACGCAAACCACCTGCGTTGACTCGGAAAAGGTTCCAAATTTATGATATAGGGGGTTCCTAAAAGCATGGGTGCCACTTTGGGGGTCCAAATAATAAGGATTATAGTATATTGGGGTCTACATTGGGGTCCGCCTTTTTAGGGAGACTGCCATATGATTCCCGCCAAACCTGTAGAAACTTCTACGGGCAAAGAATCATGTCACACTTACATCCCCACATCAGGCTGAGCCGCGTTTTCATGGATAGGCGAGGAGGCTTCAAACACCTCAGGCAGGCTGCCAGAGTGACAACGGCTGTGGGCATTAAGTATCATGGCGAAGCGCATCGCTTCGCCAAATACTGCGAAGCTAAAGACCTCAACGTTAAAGCTAAGCTTCGACTTGTTGAAGTTACAGTGTCGGCTAGCCCGATGAGACCCAAACTATTGAGCTAGCAGTCCACCTTCGCTCAGCCCAATTAGGTGCTGCCCAGCTCCAAAATCTCAAAATGATGTGAACAGCTCTCAACATGAGAACGCCCCGGTGTGATCCTCGTGCAGTAGTGTGCGCTGCTCAGGGGCCCAGTGTTGTTTACATCCCTAGCCCTTGCTCGTGTTTGCTAGTCTCACTCACGGGGCAGGGGAACATGCAACAACAAGCCCCGAAAGAATGTCCATGGGCATCCATGAGCCCAAGCCACGCCATTTTCCTCGGACTTCCGGTCAATCATGCTGTAGTCTCCTTCCAGGACCAGAAAAACGGCTTCAAAGAAAGCAGACCTTTACACATCCCTGTGTACTTGCGATGGAGACCTTGGGTTTGAATGCTCACGTACTTACATTGCAAGTTGCCATGAAAAACTATCTTCATGACATTTGAGAATCTGAGGGAAAATAGACTTCCACATAGACATACGTAGCTCCAGGCGTGTCTTTCTAGATGCTGAGGGCAGACCTTCCTGTATCGTCAGGCAGCATTGCAGGCAGGGTGCAGTCATGGTGTACGCTTTGCTGTTTTCAGCGGTTGCTATTGAACTGGATCAACGTGGACAAACATTCAATCCCAACACGTGCTCATATGAAGAACGCTCTTTGCCATGCTACTCGTGATCAAGCCACAGAGAAACCCAACAATGCTAACCCTACTGGCTTCCTGCCTGAATTCCAGTTATCTCAAGACATTTTGACTCAGCGGCAATTTCCCCGGCTTACGTGCAGAATCATAGAAAATGAACCGGGGCTCACTCCCTAAACCCCAAACCCTAAACTCTAGTCCCTAAACCCTAAACCCCAATCCCTAAACAATAATCCCTAAACCCTAATCCCTGAACCCCAATCTCTAAACCCTAATCCCTAAACCCTAATCCCTAGACCCTAATCCCTAAACCCCAAGCCCTAAATCCCCAAACCCTAAACAGGCTGGGGAACTGGCACATCAAAGAGCCCGGGCCTTGAAATGAGATGGGCGGAGCAAGGCTGAGCCGCTTTGCCTCAGCAACATTCCAAGAGGGGTTTAGGGTTTAGGGCTTAGGGTTTAAGGTTTAGGGCTTAGGGTTTAGGGATTCGGGTTGAAGGTCTAGAGCTTAGAGTTTAGGGATTAGGGTTCAAGGTTTAGGGATTAGGGATTAGGGTTCAGGGGTTAGGGTTTAGGATTTAGGCTTTAGGGATTAGGGATTAGGGCTTGGGAAAGGAATGTGTGCGAACTCATGCTAATCTATGTTCATGTAGCAATGGGGCGTTCGGGGAGGGCTAGGTTGCCAGAGTGGCTTGGGTTCTGGGGTTTCCCAACATTTGGGGGTACCTTTTTGGGTTTTTTTAGATTGGAGCCCCCATGAGAAACTACCACATACCGTTTCCCAAGATGGATACCTGGAAGGATCCTAGCATATGGGTGGCATTACGTTATGACGTAAGGGTTGTCCTGATAATTGTGGAAGAGAAAGGCTGATTACATGTTTCAAGGGTGGCACAAGCCAAAATCAGGATTTCAAAAAACCTATAGCACAAGAGCAAACAAATCTATGTCTGCCGTATGCCCTTCGGAAACTTCTCTGTAAACTAGCGGACGCGCTTCTGATTCACGGGTGCAGTGTTCTGAGAAACAAGTATTCAACCGTGGAACGGAGAGATCATGGATGTTGGCAATGAAGATTATAAGCCTGGCCTCACTACTTGCCACATAAGCCTGTTCCGAACCGCGTGTCATCATGCACTTCAGACAAAGGACACCACATTACACAACTGGTTACCATAGTTACGATGCTGATGCCTCTTGCATCTGAATACCACGTCAAAGAAGACAAAAAGGTCCCAAACTGCCGGGCAGTGGCCGTCTCACAGCACGCAGTGAGGCCGAATGCGTTGTCATTGCCTGGGCATTGCCGAAGTCTGGGAGCTTATGAATTTTCACTGGTTCCGGTGTATACGCACGAAAACGCCGAAAACGCCAGAACAATATCTCCAAGGAACCTCAAGTCTTAACATCGGTGGTAAAGGCTACGGGTAGAAAGTCGGTCTACCATAGTTTACAGATACCGTGAAAATCAATCTCAGGAATGGCGCTTCCAATGCTAGTTGGGGAGTCCCTTAAAATTGTCCTCTCATAAGCCACCTATAATCCTTAATGCTGAGGGCACGCCTCCTTCAAGAACTTCCATCTCAGCACAACCTAAAGACTGAAGTGAGCTTCGCGCTTCGACATCTCCAAACAGCATGGATGTCGTGCCATGAGAGAAACACAATGCTGTGGTTGACATTTTCTTGCCTTGCCGGTCGTCGCCCGTGCTTGTTTGCCTGCTTCTGCTCGAACAGTCTTGCTGAGGTAAGGGAAAGCAGTATGTATCAAACAAAAAATGCCCACAGCCTGCTTGTAAGTACAGGCTCGGCGACCTACGGACAGGCCAAAATGGCCCAATGCCTACACCACCCAGTAACAGCCTTTCGCAATCCCAACAAGGAGGCCTTCTTATATCTTAAGAACAAAGGGTATCTAACAAACAGCCACTGGCTAGGGCCTAGGGGCAAAATATCCGCGGAATCCTCAACCCTGCGTGTGAGCTCCAAGGTGCACAAGCCCCATCCGCGGATTTTGCCTCAGGAATTTGAATGCAGAAAACACGAAGAAGCAGGCCAGCCTTTGGAGTTTGATTCCGAAGTTAATTGGACAAGGTTTTGATCGGGAGTATGTTCTAATTTGCCTGACGAATTTCAGCCTGGGAACTTGCCCAATGAAATGCTGAATTTTGAAACCTGCTTGAGCTGCCTTCTTGCACCGGGTCTATTCTCAGAATGGGCACAGACAAAGTTCCCACAGAATTCGCAAAGGAGGTGCATGCTCCTGAACACATGTCTCGGAACTAGTTTTAGTTTGGTCTCGCCTCATCACTGTGAGGTTGGAATGGACAAGAAGCCCTTGGCGAATTCCGTGAGCCGCAAATTTCCTTTAAGCACACGAAGTAGTCTTCAACCATGCTCATTCAGCACGTACGGCGTTCAAGATTCCTTTATCATGGAGAGGATGGGGGGCTGAGTGACCCTACAACCAGCGGCAAGCCTCCCTTGACATTTTAAGGGATGGCCAAGAGAAAAGTCTGCATGAGTGGGATGTTTGACTCTGAAACGGTTCGCTGCTGTGGCTAACGCATGAGAGTGCTGGTCGTGCGCTTACATGCAGGATTAGCAGAGTAAATGGCAACGGCTTCTGCATATCTAGGACCCATTCACCTCATTGCACGGGCGATAAACCCCTCTAATTGCTCTACTGGATGTCCCAGTTGATTCTTAACGGTTGTCATTATTCTGATTAGTATTCTGAGGATTACTTGTTGGATAGTCTCCCTCAAGACCCTTCAGGTAGATACAATATGGGATTCCCCAAAACCATAGTCAGATCCCCATATACCCCATGTGCACCCTAAACCCTAATTCCAAGCCGAGGTTCCCTCCTTGACCAGGGAGCCCATGGCTGTACAAAGCCTCATGTCTCAAACCCCTCAAAGGCCACTTTTGAATCATAGAGAAGATGACCTATCGAAAGGTAAGAGGGCAGCGATGGAGCAGCAAGAAAGTGGTTTGGTCGGATTGCTTTCCATGAGATTTCAATGCATCCTGCCAGTTTCGCGGCACTGCCGGCCAGATTGGCCGGAGTCAGCTTGCTGCAAGAATCTTGCTGCTATCCCTGAAGAACCCTGCTGAATATCTCCCTTTCCCTCAGCGTGCTGATACCAACATCGTCTCCCTGTCAGGTGTCTTGGAGAGCATTAGGTGCACACATCCCAGAAAGCTCTGGGCGAGGAGCTCTT